TGCAGAGCATCCCGAGGTGGTGGCGCCCACTCTAGTCCCCAAATCTTTTTCCGAGTCCACTCTAGTCCCAGAGCCTGCTCCAGTCCTTGACTCCACTCCAGTTCCCTCGTCACGGCCAGGAGTGCCTTTTCCTGTTCCAATGACTCTTCCGGAGGTGGTGGCATCTGCTGCAGAACCTCCCGAAGCGGCGGCATCTGCTCCAGCTCCTCCTGAGGTGGCAGCTAGCACTGCAGGACCTTCCGAAGCAGCGACGTTCGCTTCAGCTCCTCCCGAGGTGGCGGCTTCTGCTGCAGAACCTCCAGAGATGGCGACGTCCGCCTTTGAACTCTCTGCCGGTCCAGCCGAGGCCAAAGAGGCCGCCTGTGAACCCTCTGATTGTCCTATCACAGCCAATGAGACCATCTCCCTCCCGAGGCGGTGGCGTCCGTTCCAGTTCCCGAATCCACTCTCGAGCCTGCTCCAGTCCCTGAGGCCGCTCCAGAGCCCGCTCGAGTCCTTGAGTCTGCTCCAGCTCCCTCGTCACGAAGTGCTGTTCCCTGTTCCAATGACTCGTTCCCTCGCCACAGCCAGGAGTGCCGTTCCCTGTTCCAACGACTCCAGTTCCCTCGTCACGGCCAGGAGTGCCGTTTCCTGTTCCAATGACTCTTCCCGAGGTGGTGGCATCTGCTGCAGAACCTCCCGAAGCGGCGGCATCTGCTCCAGCTCCTCCTGAGGTGGCAGCTAGCACTGCAGGACCTTCCGAAGCAGCGACGTTCGCTTCAGCTCCTCCCGAGGTGGCGGCTTCTGCTGCAGAACCTCCAGAGATGGCGACGTCCGCCTTTGAACTCTCTGCCGGTCCAGCCGAGGCCAAAGAGGCCGCCTGTGAACCCTCTGATTGTCCTATCACAGCCAATGAGACCATTTCTGAACTCTCAGTCTGTCCTGTTTCGACCAAGGAGGTCTATTCTTAACTCAGTGACTGTCCTGTCCTGGCCAGGAAGGCCGGTCACAAACTCTGTTTGTCTTGTAATGTCCAAGGAGGTTGTTTCAGAGCTCTATGACTGTTCAGTCATGGCTATGGAGGCCGTCTGTGAACTCACTGACTGTCTTGTCATGGCTATGGAGGCCATCTGTGAACTCTCTGCCTATCCTGTCACGGCTATGGAGGCTGTCTGTGAACTCTCTGCCTGTCCTGTCACGGCCAGGTCATGTTACAGTCAAGGAGACTGTCTATGAACTCTCAGTCTGTCCTGCCACGACCATGGAGATCATCTTTGAACTCTCTGCCTGTCCTGTCACGGTCAAAAGAGCTGCCCCTGAACTCTCTGCTCACCCTGTTACGACCAAAGATGCTGTTTCTGAACTGCTCACCCGTCTTGTTACGGCCGCAGAGGCCGCTGTTAACCTCTCAGTGCCTTTTGTTTCAGTCATGACAGATCCGCCGTGGTGTTCTTCCGCCCTGCTCTGGTGGTCTTCTGCTTTGCCCTGGTGGTTCTCTGATCCGCCCGCTCCGCTCTGGTGCTCTTCAGCTCTTCCTGCTCCGTCCTGGTGGTCTTCAAAGCCGTCAGCTCAGTCTGCTCCGCCGTGGTGGTCTTCAGCTCCGCTCTGGTGGTCCCCTGATCTGCCTGCTCTGCCCTGGTGCTCCTCGGCTCTGCCCTGGCACCCTGCTCTGCCGGCTCCGCCTTGGCTCACTGCTCTGCCTTGGCTTCCTGCTCCGCCGGCTTTACCTCAGTCCCCTGTTCCTCCCCTTCCTCATGGACCTAGTCCTCCATCCCTCCCCATGTTCCGCCTCTGCTCCACCTCCCTCCTGGACTCTGGTCTGTTAAGAACCATCTGGAAGCCGCTCCTAAGGGGGGGTGCTCTGTCACGATCACTCACTGGAGTGCCCATGGGCTCCACCAGAGGGCACTCCATCCCTGACTTTTATCATTCACCCAGGACTCCATTTCTCACAATCCTTTGCCTGGACTCATCACTCTCATTACCAGTTCACAGCTGCCTCATATTAGTAGGACTATAAGAATAGCACAGACACACTCTCTTTTCACTGGTGATTGAATATTGTTTAGCTCTTCCGTGTTTTTCTTAGTTTCCGTGTTTCTAGTTTCCCTGTTTCCTCACCTACGTGTTTTGATCCCTGGACTGTCTCCTTGTTTATTATTGTTTGCTGCCTGCCCTGACCTTCGCCTGACTTGTGGATTACTCTTTTGTCTTTGCCCTGGATGTGTTTGTTTGCTGGTGTTTGACCCTGCCAGTTCTGACTACACTCTTTGGAATAAAGCCTGCACGTGGATCCCCACTTTGTTGTCACGACTCCCTTTGTTACAGTATATTGTCATGCAAACATAAAAACATTATTTGCTGTTTTCTAACAGTATCTATCTGTGCTTTTATGGTTTTGCTCCTATGCCTATGCTGTATTTTTACTGTCCATTTTAGGCATTGAAAAGTGTGTACTCCATTTCCCACAGACACATAACATAAAATAAAAATAAACTTGCCAGAAAAATGCACACACCTGACATGACCTTGTGTACACTTTTTTTAGTAGTTTGAGTAATGTTGCGACACCAGTGGGCAAGTAAAGAAATGAAAATACTGACTTAAAGTGCTCTTCACATAAAATGTACATAAAATCTGAGTGAATTTTGAGGAGTGAGTCTGAGGAGTGAATTTTGAAGGAATATGGTGTTCTGGTTCAAACCGAATACATTTCTTAAGGGGATGAAGGCAAAAACATACTAAGCTCCACAAATAAATGTAGCCGCATGTTCTGTGTCTGTCGTTGCGCAGTATCAGCTTTTATCCATGCATGCATAAAAATAGGAAAGCTGTTGTTTCTATTATATATTTCAAGCTGGTTCGAGTCTTAGGGATGCACCTAAATTTTAGTCAAAAATCTGAACAGAAATGGTTACTTAAATTTGATAACAGAAACGTTGACATGGATAAATATACATTATCCAGGAATAATCTGATTTAATGTAAATGCTGTAGATATTGATAATAATATCCATCTGGAGAGCTTGCATTTACAGTTGATGAGTGATGAGAAAATAATAGGGATGCATCGATACCGATACTGGTATCGGTATCGGGCCCGATACTGAGTTTTTGGTTGATTGTAATCTATTACATACCTCTCTATCAAAGTTATCTAACATTATCAAGCTGAATTTGTTCTGACACAGTTTAACTCTGAGTTCTTGTCATATTTTATTACCATTTTCTAAACTATAGTGAATAAACTGTGATAATGTGAGAAATGTTGAAGGTGTCTGAATAAATTTTGGTTTGACTGTATCTATTTGATAAATGAAGTTAACCAACTAACATTATACATACTCTTTTGGTTTCTGTACCCAATATTTAAAAAATGTACAAATGCAATAAAAATATTGGTATCGGTACTTGGTATCGGCAAGTACCAAAAATAAAAGTATCGGTATCGGGCGAGTACTGGAAAAAGTGGTATCGGTGCATCCCTAGAAAATAATATCATATCATAACCCCCAAAACAATAAATAAATACATGCAATAAATGCACAGTAAATTTACAACTCTACACACAGGAAAAACATACAAATACACATGGTTTTGCTCACAATACAATCCACAAAAATCATGCAGTATGTGTTATTTATTGCACAAAACATGCTGAGCTGTTTGTACTGGTATTCTTCCTTAAGAATGTCTGTTTAGGAGTCTCGACACACAGAGGCTTTGAAATACGCTGGGGCTAGAGGTGGGCGGCATGACCAAAATTCTGTTTCACGGTATGACTTAATTTTATTTCATGGTAACGATATATTTTACGATATAGTTATTTATATATGTAGTTATTCTGAAAATTGACAAAAGGGCTTTATATTATAAATAAACTCAAATACTATAGAAATGAAAAGTACTTTACCTATTTTTCTTTTACTTTTATTTGGTAAATTATTTATTTAGTAAAAGCACACTCAACTTTTAGATTAACTGCCCCCAACTGACTAATATTAAATGCAACTTGTAGGTGCAATTAAACTTTAAATATAGTGTTTCTGAATTAATTTTAAATTATTTTAAAATAATTATACCTTAATATGTAGGATACCATTAATACCAGAGTGAAGAGTTCAATAGTGACCAGAAGGAGAGCAGCAGTATGCAAACTGAACATCAGCTACTGTTAGTGCTGACTAAGCAGTTTAAATTATACGCACCTTATAACCACGTCCTTATTTGACTCCAGCAGGGTGAAGACTGACACGTGCTCAGCCTTTCATATTCGCCTCTCACTGCGTGCGCGCGCGCGCACCTTGTGCATTATTAAAATGTGATCAGTTAATTTGAGCGTCAAATTGAGACGAATCACAAGAGGTGATCAGTGTGATCAGTGTTTGATCGTTTGGAGTTAGAAAAATATAATACGCGCGGTTGCATTCTCAATATTTAGTCATTTTGCCTCAGATTATGTACATTTGCTTTAACAAGCAGGTTGTTCATTGCTCCCTCTCTGTTGTGAGCCTGTGCGCTCCTCTAAACTGAGGGTGCTGCACTGCTCTCGCGGTTAACTGCTGCACCTTTGTTCCAACATGTTATTAACAACCCTTTAGAAAACTGAATCCTTTGTGGAACCTCCTGATCTGTTCATTCATCTTTCTCCATGTTTCTTTAACAAATGGCAGCGTCTCAGTCTGATGAGCATGTGAGTTAACCACGCCTACTTATTTACATGTCGCCGTATACACAGAATGAAAAAATCTGTTATGGCTGACATTTTATACCGCGGTAACGATATATAATGTCATACCGCCCAGCCCTGGCAATGTTTAGCATTGCTGCCAGCAAATGCTGGAAATCATAAGTTCACACTGGGTTTTGATTCTGGAAAATTGCAAGAGAGCCTTCTGTGTGACCACAAACCTTAGTCGGAATGGCCGAAAATTTGGTTAGGTTAATTACATCTAGAATTTTTAAGTAAAATAAAGTAGCGCAATAAAATTACATTTCTTTTAAAGAGCGGGAAATTGTGCATGTCAATTACCTTTTTCTGTGCCATGTCTCTCTAGACAGCAATATTACCACATTATTGCTGTGTACTATAATGCAGCTTTTTAACAGCAAAGCTATTTTACTGATAAAAGTCACAGGGCAGTGCTGACAAGTTTTCAGTGTCCTTGAGCGAGGGTGTCAAAATTCGCTCTGGTAAAAATTTATCTCAACTCACTGATTAAACCAACCCATCTGAACCTCATAATCAAAGTTTTCAGAATTGAAAACTATACAGGTTGGAGTATTGGAGCAGGGTTGGACCTAAGCTCCACAAGACTGTGAAGATGAGACTCTGGTCTAGAGTGTGTGATTCACATATCTATTTTGTATAAATCAATTCACATGAACACTTTAAAAAAAAATGTATGTTACATTTTGGTCTGTTTGTCATATCTGCTTACCACGATCGCATCACTGGCTCCTGTGGATAAGTAAATGTTGTCAGGGTCACATGTGATTCCTCCATCTCGCTGTTCAATGTACCGTGCAATGTCCTGACGAATCATTTCAATTCCCTGACTAGTACTGTAAGCACCTGAAATATCCAGAAAGCCAAAAAATGTATTCATTTGAAAAATGTTTGTGTAATAAATGCCATGTATATATGCCATGTATATATAACAGATAGTTTGAATGTCCTCTGAGGAAAGCAATATCTTTGTCATAGTATCCTTTCAATGGTAAGGGGATTTCTCATGACAACGAAAAACAAAAATAGATATGAAAAAGGTACAATGGAAGTCAATGCATACCGTCAACTGTTTGGTAACCAACATTCTACAAAATATCTTCTTTATTGTTCAGCAGAAGAAAAGAAAAAGCAAGGTCCAAACAAGGTTTGGAACAACTTGAGGGTGAGTAAATGGTGACAATGGTGATGGACTATCCCTTTAAAGTAAAAATAATGTCCTTGTTTCAGCCTTTCAATATAAAAATCTTACTGACTCTAACTCTACTATAAAGACTCTTTTCACCATCTAATGGTATAACAATGTAACCTCCACTGAAGTCATAATCACCATCGCTAACACATAGACCGTTTCTCAATAGTAAATATTATTATTAAATACTATTACTATTTATATAAAATATTATTTATTGAACAATCATATTTAATAAACAATAATAGCCATTATAAAAGGAAATAAACACAAGCAAATAATTCAGTCAAAAGTACAAAGGCAGTGCTCTGATACAGCATTAAAGTTATATAAAACGAATGGCTGCTGAGGCCCTAGAGCTCACATCTCCGAATCTTTATAAATAAACAGCATCTCAGGAATGAAAATGAGGCTATGAGGGTTAGAAGTACTGTGTTCAATGTCACTGTACTGTTGTTTAACATACCCATTGTTCATCTGGTGAAATGTCTTTAAAAAAAAAACTTTCATTAGACCAAAAAAAAACTCCATAAAACAGTTTTAAAAGTAGTGAGTTGCTGAAAATTGCATTATCTAGGACCTTTATAGAGTGCGTGCCATTGTAAATACTGTAATGGCGCTTTTCCACTGCATGGTACGGCTCGGCACGGCACGGTACGGTACAGCACGGCTCGGTTTGCGTTTCCACTGCAGTTTAGTACCGCTTTAGAGTGGGCGGGATTATAGACATGTCGTTAAAGGGTTAGTTCACCCAAAAATGAAAATTAGCTTGTGTTTTACTCACCCTCGAGGCATCCTAGGTGTATATGACTTTCTTCTTTCAGACAAATCCAGTCGGAGTTATATTAAAAACTGTTATGGCTATTCCAAGCTCTATCATTGCAGTCAGCGGGTGATGCAGTTGAACTGTCCACAAGTCGTCAAATATTCGCTTTAACAAGCTTCCACGTATGACAGATACTGGAAGTGAGAGAGAAGTGTTTATTACGTTTGAAATATGGATATTTTTCTTACAAAAATGCATGGATTCACTACAAGAGGCCTTTATTCACCCCCCGGAGCCGTGTGAGGCACGTTTTATTTGACGACTTGTGGACTGTTCAACTGCAACACCCGCTGACTGCAATGATAGAGCTTGGAATAGCCAGGACAATTTTAAATATAACTCCGACTGGATTCATCTGAAAGAAGAAAGTCATATACACCTAGGATGCTTCAAGGGTGAGTAAAACACAGTCTAATTTTCATTTTTGGGTGAATTAACCCTTTAAGGCTTTTTCATTCCACGTTGTCCCATGAAGCTCTCGCTGGATCCGCTTCTCGGCTATCAATGAGAGGAACGTCTGTATTTCCTCAACAGACCACGAAACAGCCATTATTTTGTTGTTTAAAAAAAGGTGTGCTCGTTCGAAACCGATGCGTTCATTCAAAAAAAGTTGCGTTCAATCCTCGCTGGCTGTGATATTTTAATCTAGTGAGTCTAGTGTCTCCTGTCGCAAGGTCAATGACGCAGGTAGTGACGATTCTCTCCGGCCAATCAGTGATCAGCAGGGTTTACACGCCACATATTGGTAACGGTACAGCTCGCTTGGAACCTCAGCCGAGGTGGTACTGAAAAAAGTACCAGGTACTGTACACAGTGGAAAACCCCCCAAAAGCGAGCCGTGCCGTACCATGCAGTGGAAAAGTGCCATAAGTCTATCCCCTACAGCCTCATTTTCATCCACGTCAAAATTCATTTTGCCTATAAATACATACAGCAGCAATTGAGACTCATCAGACCAGGCAACCTTTTGTCACACTGGTTTTTGGGTATTGTTTCTTATTTAGGTTTTCTTGTCTTTTATTTTGATATTTAACCATGTTTCATGTTGCTGTCATGTGTTTTCCTACCCTGTCATGTGATCCTGCTATTGGTTCCTTTGTTCAATGTGTCATGCTGTTGATTAGTTGTCTTAGTCATGTGTCTTGTTTCTCACTGGTTGGACTGTGTCACGTGACTTGTATTGTTTTGTATAAGTAGCCCTCATGATGCCATTGTCTCTGGTCGAGTATTGTTCATGTAACCCTCTGTTGGTGAGTCTTGTTCATGTTTTTGCCAAGCCAAGCCTTGTTCATGTTTTTGCCAAGCAAAGCTTTGTTCATGTTTTTGCTCACTGTTGGATTTTTAATAAACTGCACTTGGGTTCATTCCAACTTGCCTTCAGTGGACTAATCGTTACAGAATACTAGACCACAACCATGAACCCAGCAGCTTGTTTATTGCGCCTTCATCAAGGCAAACGGGCCATTGTGGACTATGTAGCAGATTTCTGTGAACTATGTTATCATGTGGACTTCAATGACACTGCTCTCAAGGACATTTCCCGTTTTGGCCTTACCAAAGAAATCTCTCAGTTAATGCCACCACATACCCCAGAACAATATATTGACTTTGCTTTGCAGATGAGTGGCTCTGCATTTACAGTGGGTGTCGTGGAGGAGGAACACGGCATCCCTCCAGAGTCCTCACACGACATGGCCGCCATTCCAAAGCCTTGTCCCGTCATGGCCGCCATTCCAGAGTCTTGTCCCGTCATGCCTGCCAAGCCAGGGCCTGTTCACGTCATGCCTGCCATGCTAGAGGTTTGTCACGTCAGGACTGCCACATCAAAGTCTTCCTATGCCTTGACTGCACTGTCAGGGGTGATTCACGTCATGCCTGCCAAGCCAGAGCCTCTGCACAAGATGGCCGCCATGCCCGCGCTATAGTATCCAAGCTCCTTTGGATGCGGAGCTTGGTCCAGAACTCATAAGAATGCTTGCCAGTGTGATGGAACCACATCTGATGTCATTGCGAGCAGCTGGCATCCCCAGGGCCTCAGCACTGGCTGTCACAGAGGCTGTTCCCCTATCCTCAGTGCTTCCTGTTATGGTGGTAGCCATCCTGTGTGTTTGGGCTACTCACTGCTCTGTTACTCAAGTCCATGCTCTGTTATTCAAGTCCTCCACTGCTCCACGGTCTATCACTGCTCCATGGTCTGCCACTGCTCCATGGTTCAGGTCCTCCACTGCTCCACGGAGGCCATATCTGAGCTCATTGCCTGTCCTGTCACCATCAAGGAGACCATCCATGAACTCACAATCTGTCCAGTCACAGCCACAGAGGCCGTCCATGAACTCACAGTCTGTCCTGTCACAGCCACAGCGGCCGTCTATGAACTCACAGTCTGTCCTGCGAGCAGCTGGCATCCCCAGGGCCTCAGCACTGGCTGTCACAGAGGCTGTTCCCCTATCCTCAGTGCTTCTTATTATGGCAGTAGCCATCCTGTATGTTTGGGCTACTCACTGCTCTGTTACTCAAGTCCATGAATCTGCCCCAGAGGCCACTCCTGTCCATAAGTCTGCCCCAGAGGCCTCTCTTGTCCATGAGTCTGCCCCTGTTCCTCCCGAGACGGCGGCTTCCACTGCAGAACCTCCAGAGGTGGCAGCGGCTTCTGCTGCAGAACCTCCTGTGGTAGTGACATCCGCTTCAGCTCCTCTCAAGGCAGTAGTGCCCACTTCTGAACTCTCTGTCTGCCTTGTCACGACCAAGAAAGCTGTCCATGAACTCTCTGCCTGTCCGGTAATGGCCATGGAGGCCGTATCTGAGCTCATTGCCTGTCCTGTCATGGCCAAGGAGGCCATCCATGAACTCACAATCTGTCCAGTCACAGCCATGGAGGCCGACCATGAACTCACAGCTAGAGCCTGCTCACGTCATGCCTGCCAAGCCAAAGCCTGCTCAAATCATGCCTGCCAAGCCAGAGCCTGCTCACGTCATGCCTGTCAAGCCAGAGCCTGCTCACACCATGCCTCCCGCACCACAGCCTCTGCACAAGATGGCCGCCATGCCCGTCTTGACTGTCCACACCTGTCATGACTGCCACGCCAGAGCCTCATCATGCCACTGCTGCCATGCAAGTTTACCCTAAGTATTTTTTGTTGGGGGGGGGCTATAGTACCCAAGCTCATGAGAATACTTGCCAGTGTGATGGAACCACCTCTGATGTCATTGCAAGCAGCTGGCATCCCCAGGGCCTCAGCACTGGCTGTCACAGAGGATGTTCCCCTATCCTCAGTGCTTCCTGTTATGGCGGTAGCCATCCTGTGTGTTTGGGCTACTCACTACTCTGTTACTCAAGTCAAGTGAACTCTCTGCTTGTCCTGTTGTGGCTGCAGAGGCCGCTGTCTATACTCTCTGTTCCAGTCCCGCCTTATCCGCCGTGGTGGTCCCCGGAACCATCTGTTCCACTGAAGTGGTCATCTGTTCCACCATGGGGATCTTCAGTCCTGTCTGCTCTGCTGTGGTAGTCTCCTGCTCTGCCGGCTCCGCCCTGGCTTCCTTCTCCGCCAGCTCTGACCTAGTGGTCTTCAGTCTCACCTGCTCCGCCCTGGTGGTCCTCGACTCCGCCCTGGCTTCTTGCTCTGCCGGCTTTGAACTGGTGGTCTTCTGCTCCGCGTGGACTCCCTGCTCCACCTGCTGTGCCACTGCTCCATGGCCCAGGTCCTCCACTGCTCCACGGTCTACCACTACTCCATGGTCCAGGTCCTCCACTGCTCCATGGTCTAGGTCCACCACTGCTCCATGGTCCAGGTCCTCCAGTGCTTCACTTTCCTGGCCCACCTTTGCTCCACGGTCTAGACCTGCCCTTGCTCCGGGGTCCAGGTTCACCACTGCTCCACGGTCTGCCTCTGCTCCACGTCCCAGGTCCACCTTGGCCCCACTGCCCAGATCTGCCACTGCCCCATGGTCCTGGCCTACCACTGCTCCTCAGTTCTGATCCTCTGCCATGTTATGATTCTGATCCTGTTCCCCTGCATGGGCCTAGCCCTCCATCCCTCCCCCTGTTCAACCTCCACTCTACCACCCTCCTGGGCTTTTTGAGTTTTGTTTGGGTTGGGGTGGGTGCTACGTTAGGGCGTCTGAAGCCGCCTTTAGAGGGGGGATATGTCACGCTGGTTTTTGGGTTTTGTTTTTTGTTTTGAAGGTTTTCTTGTCTTGTATTTTGATATTTAACCATGCTTCATGTTCCTGTCATGTGTTTTCCTACCCTGTTACATGATCCTGCTATTGGTTCCTTTGTTCAATGTGTCATGTTGTGATTGGTTGTCTTAGTCATGTGTCTTGTTTCTCACTGGTTGGATTGTGTCATGTGACCGATATTGTTTGGTATAAGTAGCCCTCATGTTGCCATTGTATCTGGTCGAGTATTGTTCATGTAACCCTCTGTTGGAGAGTCTTGTTCATGTTTTTGCTAAGCCAAGCCTTGTTCATGTTTTTGCCAAGCCAACCTTTGTTTATGTTTTTGGTCACTGTTGGATTTTTAATAAACTGCACTTGGGTTCATTACAACTCGCCTTCAGTGGACTAATCGTTACACCTTTTTTCAATCTTCTACTGTCCAATCAGTTTCCTGTTCTTAGCTGACAGCTCTTCTGCATACTTCCTTTGTAACGAGTGGTTATTTGAATTACTCTTGCCTTTCTATCAGCTCAAACCAGTCTGACCATTTTTCTCTGACCTCTGGCACCAACAAGGCATTTTTGCCCACAGAACTACCGCTCACTGGATATTTTCTCTTATTTGGACTATTCTCTGTAAACCCTAGAGATGGTTTTGCATGAAAATCCCAGTATATCAGCAGATTCTGAAATACTCAGACCAGCCAATCTGGGCATCTGGCAACAACCAAAGTCTCCTTTCCTCCCCGTTCTGATGCTCAGTTTGAACTCCCATCAGATCGTCTTGAGCCTGTCTACATGCCTAAATGGGTTGAGTTGCTGCCATGTGATTAGCTGATTTGATATTTGCGTTAACAAGCAGTTAAACGGGTGCAACTAATAAAGTGGCCTGTGAGTGTATATACACATAATTAACTAATAATCTAGATTAGTATATATCTTGTTCTCTTTTTCTTTAGCCTGCTTTTTTTCTGGATTTCTCTTTTCTCTAGCTTGAGCAGTGACTAATGACTAATGAATGTAAATTTAAGACTATAGAGTTTGTATTTCTAGCTTTCTGTGCTTTTCTAAGGTGTGGGGAGTTCACTTTTAAATAACTCCGTTAATCCTGGCATTATTCACACTATGTCAGATATTATTTTAGACCATCACCAACTGACTTTATTGCTAAAGTACTCTATATATACCCTTCACACCAAACACAATTAATTACCAAGAATATCCTGCACTAGTAAAATTTTGAATAGAAGGTATGGATACCTACGGAGCTATGTGAGCATTCTGGCAGAGTGGAAAATTAGACAAAAAACAATAACCAATAATTTTCATTGTCCTTGTGACGTCAGTCAAAAAGGAGAATCAGAGACTGAATGAGATTTCGGCAACAGTTAAGTAGATAGATGCTCATTTTGATTTCATATTTGCTTGAAGTATCTAATTCAATATAACTAAAAAGATTTTCCTGTACCGAGACTTCCTCCACCACACGCTTGGAGAATGCGGCGAGCTCTACTTTTGGCATCTTCTGGAAATTTGCTGTCTTCAAGAAGATCTGGATAAGAGCACAATGCCAAGACCTGACAAATAAAAGGAGCATACGTATAGTATGTACAAGAACTACTGCTCAAAATATAGCATGACATGCAAAATATTTCGTAAACACACCTGTCTGAAGAAGGTGATGGGTTTCTGGCCCATAGCATGGCAGTCACCGATGTTGGCTTTAATGACCTCTGTGAACGGCTTCTTTATTCCCTACATTGATGGAGCAGTTAATGAGAAAGTAGGAAAGGTAGGAAAACAAAGAGAATTAAAGAAAGAAAGAAATAGGAAAAAGAACAGAAAATGTATAACTGGGCTTCTTAAATAATTTGAGAATTTTCATCCAACTATTCCTTAAAAGAGCTCATTATATTTTTTTCACCAATTTCTGTAAATAAGTAAATTAGACAAATTTGCATAAAAGGAGGGTTACAAAAATGAGTAAACCCTTGATTAAATCAACAAACGCGTAATATTGTTGTATGTAGTATGTTCTCCATAACTTTAAGTACTGTATACTGCTCTGACCCTTTAGGGTACAAGTACAAGAGTACAAGTTCACAGCAAATTGTCACATTTCCTGGAGGTCAACCTCCTTGAGTACCCTGATGTTTCATGGAGGGTGTTGCTCAACTTGTCTCCACAAAATTCCCTCACAGGTGCTCAACTGTGATTAGGTCAGGTGAAATACTTGTCTAAAGCAGGATTTTCACCTTGTGATGTTGAAAAAGTACCTAACAACTTTAAGGCCCCAATTTACTTCAAGTGAAATCAAAGACCGAAATGGTGTGATGTCATTTCGAAATAGCATGCCAAACTTTCCAGAAAAGTTTGCTCTGGCTGGTAAACACCTGTCAGTCTACAACTTAAGTGTCTACCACCTGTAAACCGAAAATGTCTGGACAGTTCCACAGGTGCATGTGCAATAATTCTATATGGTTTAAACCCTTTCCAATAAAATCTATAAAGCTTATTTGGATTTTATAAAAATGTTAATAAAAACGCAGTATTCCAAAAAAGGGACAGTATCCATAACAATATCATAAAAGAATATTAAAATATGGTGAAAAGTTTTCATGGGAAGCCTATGCCCAAGGACTAACAAAAGGCTAGAAATGCTCCTGGCTGCAACACTCTCTTCATACTGCAGTTTATGGCACTGTTGTTACTGGGGGAAGAGTTTTGAAGTACTTCCACTTTTGGATACACAATATTTTAGAAAAATTTATATTTTAGTCAGAATTATTGTGCTCTGTTGTCATTCTGTTGTGCTCTGTCTGTTTAACGCATATGCGCACACTTAGTGCTCGTTCCGTGTAGTCTTTGAAGTTTAACGAAGACTCGCTGCCTGGACAAGCCTTTATGCAACATGGAAGTACTCACGTGAATTTCTAACATTTACAGACAAGGATGTAACCATAAGATGCAAGTTATGCAATGAGAAAAAAGATCTCAAATGCATTTATCAGCACATGCATCTGACAGGAGGGAAAGCCTCTTTAAACTGTATGAGTTAGTTTGAAGCACGTCTCATGTTTAGGACAACTTGACTAAATTAACTTCATTATTACACTTTCTGGGTGGACAACAGCCATGCATTTCATTGCATGTCTTTGATGAGTATTTAATTCTTTGGAACTCTGCTAACCAGATTTTTCTGCTAACCAGACAATTCTTCATTGATCTAAATGTTCTAATATTATTAAAATTATAATCACATAGTATAACCATAAATTATGATCTGTATAAAGTCATTATGAATGTTCCTCATATTTTTCATAAAATATACGATTATAATATTAATTTAATATTAAGTGCAGGTAAGTTCAGCTTTTCGATGTTTAATAATCACTCAAGATATGTTTAAAAAAATAACTAAAATATGTAAGAAGCAGGAGGTGTCATGTAGAGAAAATGTGCTTGCAGAAGATAAGAGATCATCATCTGTGAGAAACTGTCTGACAGTGGACAGCCAACAAAAACAAACTGTACAGAGCATTTGCTTTCTAGAACACTGGAGGAACATCACACAAACCTTTCTAAGCAACGTAACGAAACAAGATAATAAAATTTAGAAAGTGAACAAAAACTTATAGGTAAAACACTAATGCTTTCATAACCACTTGATGTGTTAAAAATTTTAAAAAATAAAATTTAAATGCTCTGATTATATAATAATAATAATAATAATACAAATAATAATTGTTATTATTATATAATCACAAAATATTACTATTACTAAATAGAACTATTAAACAAAAAAGTATAAAACAAAAATAGAGTATTTAATAAAATTACATAATAATAATAATAATAATTTGTTGATACTTCCAATGCTTTTGCATATTTTATACCTTTGTGCATGTTCTCAATAAATTTATCTAGACAAAAATAAAATAATTACTATTTCTGAGATATCCAAAATCCCCTCTGTAAAAAAGAGTATTTATCCAATGTTCAGATTAATGTATGCAAATTATTGCATATTTAATTATATGTAATTTGCATATTTAAACCTAACATTTCAGCAAACGTGTAATACAATTTTTTTTTACAATTCTTAATATAATCAATCAGCTGGAAAAAGTATGGTGGTATATATTAATTACATTTTTACCCTATTCAAAGGCAATGCCTTTAATATGAAATATGATCCAATAAGCATATGCAAGTAGTATCTCTTTCTTGACTTATTTTCTGTGTCTGAAACTTAAGGTGACCTCTGCCAGGTCAGTCAGCGACTTCACACACAGACTTTTGAGGCACCACAATGTCTAATAATCTTAAAACAAATAAAGTTATATTTGGTGACTACAAATCATAGGGGAGCATGGGGCACAAAGTAATGCGGGGTTAGTTGTAACAAACATGGTTTGAATATTTCCACACATGCTAGCATAACAAAATTTACAGTATTTATTAGTTACCATATCAACATTATATAGAAAAAAATTCGAAGATATCAATGAACATTTATTTTACCATAGTAAAATTAAACTTCTGGCTTAAGTAAATTTTCCATCTCTGTTTTTATTAATCATTTAAAATTAGATAAATCTGCTATTATTTTAATCTCCAATCTGTCATTTATCAGTTTAGATCATTTTTTTAATGCTTCGCTAACTAGCAGAAGACAGCAACTGGTTTTAAACTCCAGTTGTGCAGATGGGGCACGTTGTAACACTGCGTTACAATGTGCTATTCTATGACATTAGCGATGTAATTTACACTAGTTACTTTAAAGGATTTTAA